TGCTCTTTCTGACTGCTAGTCGCCTCCCATTCAACCGTTATACAGCCGAGAGAACCACCACGACTTGAGCCCAATTAGAAGCAAAGAAAAACAAACATTGGGAAAGGAATACACTCCACAACACAGATGATCCGTTTCGCTCGGTATCGCAGACGAATCATCATTGTCTAGCCAACCCCCGAGCTCATCAGTGCGACAGGTTGACGACATGAGGACATAGACTACATAGGGGAAGGTGTTGAGAAATAGGATAAAACGAGAGAGAATGTAAAAAAAGGAGGGGTTCACATGCAAAGTTCATGCAGTCAAGATGATGAATTATACATAATAATGAAAGAGTGATATAACCCGATGTGAGTATTAAGAAAAACGAGTAGTAGGAGGAAGGAAAAATGGGTTCGTTTAGTGTAAAACAAGGTCCAAGCGGAATACAAGAATTAAATCAAATAAAAGTATAGAGGAAGGAGGAGAATTAGTGTTGAGCACCGCTGCAAATGAGAATACCTGTGACGAGTCTATTTATCTTTCTATAGTTATTTGCGATTGAGTATTTGTAACTTATAAATTTATTTTTGTAAATACATTTCACAATGCTAGTAATAATAAAATCTTCTTCGTAGCCATTTTTCAAAAGAGTAGTGACCATATCCGTTATTTTGCTAACGAAAACGTTGAAGAACGAACAAGTGTTCGCTAACCTCAAAGTTTCCGTATATATAACAGAGGATTTGTTAATAAGGAGAAATGTTTGTGTCACTATACGGAAATCTGATTACATTGAAGCTAAAATCATCCGTTTTATTATACAGCTTGGTACTAATTTTACCGTTAGTAATATTAATTGTTAAATCTAAATAATTGCTAGAAACTTCACTATTATGAGTTTTTTTTCAACTGAAGGGTATTTTGATAAACTTGAGAAAGTTGTTCATCCACATCATCATCAGTTTGGTTATGTACAACAAGCAAATCATCCATATATCTATATGGAATGAACAGCTTACTTTTATTAAACTTTTTAGATTTAGCATAGTCATACTCCATGACAGAAAGCGTAAGATCTGCTCTGCCAATAGTGGACTAAAATTAC